TATCAGTGAGGTCATATGATACATGTCTTTCTCTGATCGACTTATTTCACTCAGCGTAACACCCTCCAGTTCCATCCACGTCATTGCAAGTGACAAGATCTCATTCCTTTTGATGGCTGCATAATATTCCATTGTGTATATATACCACATCTTCTTTATCCTTTCATCTGTCGATGGACATCTTGGCTCTTTCCACAGTTTGGCTATTGTGGACATTGCTGCTATAAACATTGGGGTGCACATACCCCTTCGGATCCCTACATTTGTATCTTTGTGGTAAATATCCAGTAGAAGCATCCAACTCTTGATTTCAGCTCAGGTCTTGATCTCAGGGTCATGAGTTCAAGAACCACAATGGACTCCACACTGGGTATGAAGCCTACTTAAAATGGAAAACAAAACAAAACAAAAAGGCAAAAAGTTTGAACAGACACTTCACAAAAGAAAAACTATAAATGGCAGATATACAAATGAAATGCTCAACATCATTGTCATCAGGAAAATACAAATTAAAACCTCCAGATACTCCTACCACCCACTAGAATAACTAAAATTAAAAGGAGAAACCATACCAAGTGTTGGCAAGGATGTGAAACAACTGGAAATCTCATATTTTGTTGGTAGAAATGCAAAATAATACAGCACCTTGGAAAAATTCAGCTATTTCCTATAAAGTTAAATATGCATATACTCTATGTGACCCAGCAATCCCCTAAGTATTTACACAAGAAGAATGAGAACCTAGGTCTGCACAAACAATTCTTGCAAGGGTTCATAACTTTTTCATAACTTTTATTCATAATAACTCAAAACTAGACACAATCTGCAAGTCCATCAAAAAGTGGTTGTAAATAAATTGTGTTCTATCCCTACAACAGAATATGACTCAGTTTTAAAAAGGAACAGAATACTGACATGAGAAAGACTGAGAGGAGGAGATTGACCATAAAAGGCTAGTGGGGAGCTTGGTGGACACTTTCTATGTCTTGATTGTGGAGGTGGTTGTGTGGGTGCATACGTTCAATGAAATTTATTAAACTGTACACTTAAAATAGGTGTATTTTATTACTATCTAAGTTATACTTCAATGAAAGTAATTAAAATATTGTAAAAGAAATATATTCATATGGTTAAAAAATTTCAACTAGACATTGAAAAATTAGTCTTTTTTCACCATATGTCCAGACCTCCAAATACCCTATCTCTTTACCCAAAGGTAACCACTATTCCCAGTGATTTTATGGATTATTCAAAAATTGTCTGTGTGTATACACCTCTACATCGGTATTTGTATATGGATATGTCTATAGGTACATCAAATACACACATATACTTTGTTTACGTACGTAGACATCTTTTCTATTATAGTAGCTGCTTTTTGGTGCCTGATATTCCCTTAGACCACCTCTGACTTTTGCTGCAGCTCCCATGGTGGGTCCCTCCCTTGCACACTGACAGAGTCCCACCGTGAACACTAACACTTTCTCCAAAGTCACAGGAGCCTATTCAGTCTACAGGCAGCTACAGCCAGAAGCAGAAGGAGTTAAGTCCCTGGAACAACCCCAACCAATACAGGATGGGTTTGGTCAATAAATGCCCCAGACTTCCTTCTTGCTGAAAGACAGACAATCCTGGGAGTTGGTATTCCTATCTGTTTTTCAAAGGTCTGGACTTGGGCTTCCCTTACCTGTAGCAGTAACTCAATAATATACCTTTTTTTTTTTTTTTTCATTTTCTGTCTCACTGTCTTCATGCTCTCATTTTTTTTCTGGGATTACTTCCCAAATAAACTGCCTGCACTCAAGTCTTTGTCTGAGGCTCCGCTCTCAAAGGACCCCAAACCAAAACATGTATACACCTTATTTTTTCACTTGATATATCTTATAGTTTACATGATGTCAGCCCATATAATCTGCCCTCCTGTGTCTCATGGCTCTACAGTACTCCACTCCATGGTGTATCATGGTTTGTTTGTTTGTTTTTCTATTATAAATACTTTATTTCAACTGGAAGGTACAATCTCTCAGGGGCTTCATAGTTTAAAAAGCTACAGTCACACTGTAAAATAGTGCTGTAAATGGAACTTCCTGGCTTAGAACATGTACATTTCTGCACAGTCTTTATGGAATCTGTACAACAAAATATCTTCTGCCTTTGCTCCAATTAATTGTTCTTGTATGTATGTTGCTTTCTATTCCAGTATATCCAGAGTGGTGAAATCACAAGTCCAGCCACGTAACCAAAGGTCGCTCCAAGCGTACAGGAGATGGGCGATACCTGCCAAGGTCTTTCCCAATCGAGTGGAATAGGAGAGGCTCCAAACCATGTTCCTATAAAGCTAGAAATTGTAGTGATCTGAAGGCTGTTCTCCCAAATGGATGTAACTCCATTTCTACTGAAAACTCTTAGCCATGCTTTGATGTTTGGTCCTAACAAACACAAACAAGGTACAGTAGTAAAGGTAGACAAAATAATTGCAAATAAAAATGTTTCCAACACCAACTCTATGAGTGGTGCTCCATATAGAACAAAAATCACATGAAAGAAGAAACATGACATAAGAAAGTAGATACAGCATTTCAAAAACCTGGTTACCTTGTATGATAATGAACTTCTTTTAGAGGATGCATTTGGTTTCACTACTAAATATAATACTAGATTGATGGCAGTTACAAAAACAGAACAGATGCACAACCATGTCAAATGTGTTTCCAATATTGAGAAGTTCTCCAAGAAGAATGTTGGAATGAAGATGCTTAGGATAATTGAAAATATGCACAAAAGATGGGTATACAGTAGTCTCTTGATATCAGTATCTTTCATGGTGTTTTCTTGAGAGGCTATCTAACGTTCCGCCAGTGGAAGAGAAGCGGGGGTTACTACCTCCCCCCCATCAGGTATGACTCGCCGCCCTGGCCACCGCCTGTATCATGGTTTTTATAACTGTATCCCCCATCAGTGGATATTTAAGCTGTTTATAGCCTTTTGCTATTGTATACAATGTTTTTTTTAAAAAAAGATCCCTATGCACACATCTCTGTAAGACAAATTTCTAGAAATAAAATGGATAAGGCAAAGGGTAGTCATGGTAGTCTTTAAATAGGAAGCATCCCTGATATGACTGAACTGTAAAATTTTACCTGTACACACAGTTTTTTAGTCATAAATGCAATGTGAATGATGTGCGGTTGTCCCTATCAGAGTTGATCCTAGGTGCAACCCTATACCCTAAGGCTCCTTCTGCTCAATTCTCTAGTCCCCTTTTCTATGGGATCCACCTGCCATCTTGCTGTGACCTCAAACACAATCAGGAAGAGGCCTTGTGAGAGAGAGAGTAAGAACACAAGCTAAAACAGACAAATAGCAAAAGAGGGAGAATATATATAAAACCACTAACTGGTTGCCAGAAAATTTACAAAATAGTTCTCCTTTTCACAGAAGGAGGAAAGAACATTGGACTCAGAGTCAGGACACATAGGTCCTAGGTTCTAGCCCTCCCTTTGCCAAACCAAGGGGTTGGATAAGGTAGTTTTCCCTTTGCCTCAGTTCCCTCATTTGTAAAATGAAGGGGCAGACCTAAATTATTCTCTCTAAAGCCCTTCTCGCTGATATTCCAAATTTCTATGACTCAAGCAGTTTGTAGAAAGGGCCACCTTATACTTGTATCAGGTATTGAATCAGCTCCCATGGAATAATTCCAAGGTGTCAACCCATCCACCATCTACTTAAAAAAAAACTTCAACAACAGGCAGATGCTAGAAACTACTGTGTATGCTGAGGATCACTTCAGATCACAACAGAAATGCAAATAACTCAAGAACAAATGCAAACATTTCCTTGTAATATTTGATAGAAGTAGAGCTCTACAGAGCACACTTTGGGAAAAATGTTTTAACCCCACAAGCAGCTGGAGCTCAGGCTTTAGAATCAGGAGGACCTGAACTTAAATCTGAGTTCTGGGGCGCCTGGGTGGCTCAGTCAGTTAAGCAGCCCACTCTTGATTTTGGCTTGGGTCATGATCTCAGGGTTGTGAGATAGAGCCCTATTTTGGCTTTGTGCTGGGCATGGAGCCTACCTAAGATTCGCTCCCCCCTCCCCCTCTGCCCCTCCCCTCACACTCTAAAAAAAGTAATTAAAAAAAAACACTTTGAACCTGAATTCCTCTGCACATACATATGGCCTGGAACTAGTTATTCTGCAGAAATGAGACAAATAAGCCATTTTGTGAGGCTGCTGTGAGAACCAGAAGAGGTGATAGTGAACTTGAGTCTCAGGCTGAATGTTAGTTTGCAAAGACAGTGGTAAAGGAAAAACGTCAGTCAAAGTTCAGATGAAGTGGTTGACTTTCATTTGGTAGCCAGGTTAACCTGTAACACACACACACACACACACACACACACACACACACACACACACACAAACACACATTTTAAAGAGCTAATACTTGCTACAGACTGTTTGTCACCCTTATTCATTCACCCTTATTCATTCACAAATGTGATGGTATTAAGGGGTGGGCATTTGGGAGGTGATTAGGTCATGAGGGTGGAACCCTAATGAATGGGGTTAGTGCCCTTATAAAAGAGACCCCCAGAGAGCTCCCTTGCCTTGCCAACCATGTGAGGATGTGGCAAGCAGATAGCCATCTTTGAACCAAGAAGTGGGTCTTACCAGACACAGAATCTGCCAGCACCTTGACCTTGGACTTCCCAACCTCCAGAACTGTGCAAAATAAACATTTGTTTATAAGCTGCTGAGTCTATAGTACTTTTGTTATAGCAGCCCCCACACACAACTAATGCTATATGCTAATCTTTCACCACTTAACCATTCTATTGCTATGAACATTTAATGATTTCCAAACTTTACTTCTATAAATAATGAGTCAATGAACATCTCTATACACTCATCTTTGACAGCATCACTTAATAGGTCCTAACCAGATGTTAGACAACCAGAACTTTTCAGGGGGGTCACGCAGGCAGCTAGAGTTTAATTGCACAAGACACAAGTCAACCCCAATTTCATCCAAAAAGCATTTACTGAGTTTCTAGATGCCAGGCACTACCCAGGCACACTTCATATCATCTTACAGTGCTTCCCTAAATGGGTACAGGTATACCTCTTTTTATAAAATGAATGCGGTTTCGTGGTGTAAATTGAATTCATATGAAATGGGAGAGAGGAGACAAGAGCTGAGGTTTAAATATGACTATGTCTCAGCCTACCATAGACCAGGAGGTGAGAGGAAGCTCTTCCGAGAAGTGAGAGGAGAGAACAGAAGAGTGGAATACAAAGGACCCCAAACCGAATGTGGAGCATCCTGTTTCCTCCCATCATCAGAACATGAGTCCAGCCACCTGGGTGCAGTTTCACCATAATTTATTCAACTCATCAACTATTTACCGAGCATCAATTATAGCCACTAATAACTCAGCTGTCATTCACTGAGGCAGAATAGTGTAGGGATTAGGAGTGCAGACTCTACCTTTAAAAGAATGAAGTCATTCTATATAAAATGACCTGTAGGGATAATAAGTAACAAAAGTAAGGTGCACAACAGTGTGGCAAAGGTACAAGAAGGTATATAAAAAGAAGGGGGATATAAATGCTTGTTTATGCATCACCTATCACAAAAAGCTGGTGAAAGTAGCACTGGCCATGAATAGAGCACTAGGGACTCTATCCAACCAGATTTACCCTACCTTCCTTAAATAGCTTAAAAAAAAAAACAGACAAAATTAAAATTAAACAATGGTTTAAGACACTGAGCAGCAGACGGCATGGGAAGGGTCACTGATGGCTGAGAGGAGGGAGAGGGAAAGAGGTAAGTCCTAAACTGTCCCAGCTCACTGCCAGCAGGTCATTTCCGGCCACTAATCAGGGAGCCTAGACTGGCAGGGAAGAGTATCAGAGAAGAGAGAGCTCCAGCAATTCGCAGAGGTCCCCTCTAGTTGTGGCCTGAGTACTCATCAGCACATATAGGAGAAGCCACCAGAGGCTGGGAAGACCCATCGCAAAGCAGTAAGCTCAACAATGTCCGCACTTGACTTGGGGCTGGAGATGGTTTATGCTCCCCCAGCCAGAACGGAAAGACCTCATAGTCCATGGGGCATGGGATAAAACCCTCAGAAGTGGGGACACCTTAGCCCTAGACCGAAGACTATTGTGACCAGCAGAGTAAAGCATAAAAGTAGGGCTTCTGGGTGGATGATTGGGGACAGGAAGGGGGAGATCGGGGCTAAGGGTCAAGGCTTGAAGTATACATACCTATTCACTGTTACACCTTTTTGCACTGTTTCAAATTTTTACTATGTGTAAGTATTCCTTTTTAAAAACTTTTAAAGGAGGAGGTCTCTGGAGTCAGACTTGTCAGGGTGAGGATATGACTCCACCTCCTACGAGCTATATAAACCCTGGCAAGTCACCCAACCACTCCAAACCTCTGCGTTCTCATCCGTGGGATGGATTTCTTTAGATCATTATGAAGATAAATTGAAATGTTTATATAAAAACTAGCAGCACCTGGCATTTTGTGAAAATATTGGTTTTACTCCCCAATGGCCTGTTTCTGGCAAAAGCACCCCATTTTTCTTCTGGGGAACACACCTGCCCCACTCACCCATGTGACCATGACACCATTCCCCAGCTCTGAGAAGGGCCATGTGACTATGGTTTTAGGAGGTGAGGCCCTTGTGAGGTGGTTAGGTCATGAGGGGGAGCCCTTATGAATGGAAGCAGTGATCTTATAAAAGGGACCCCAGAGAGCTCCCTTGCCCAGTTGGCCACGTGTGGGAACAGTGGGAAGGCGCCATCTATGAACCTAGAAGCAAGTCCCAGCAGACATTGAATCTGCGGGTACCATGATCTTAAGCTCCTCAGCCTCCAGAACTACAACTGTAAGAAATACATTTCAGTTACTTCTGACCTATCACCATATTTCATGTCCCTGGGACAGCAAGTAATTATTCTAATGAGAGTGGTATGGAGACTTTTGCTGGAAATCTTGGGAAAGAGATGCTGATTTTTCACTGGGTTGCTCAGTGAGTAGACTAAAGCTGCCAGGGGTCATTTTCAGGGAACCATCTTCGGAGTGGAACCCAGACAGGGGGTAGCAAAGCCTAGAGATGGAGACAGATGTGGTCCTGAGGATGTCATTTGAGGACTAGGATCCAGCCATGCCTAAAGCCAGTTTCTGTCACTAGAACCAGAAGAGGCCTGACAAATTCAGGAGGGACTATCATTATTCAATTCATTCAACAAGCACCAAGCCCAAATGAAGTTCCAGACACTGTGCCCAGAGCTAGGGATTCCAACATGAGACCCTGACCCCAGGAAGTTTATAGTCTAATGGGGGAGACACTTATGCAAAGCAACAACTGCTGGGTGAGAGATATTCCCAGAATGCTCTAGGTGAGGCACATCTAGAGCACCCTGGGGAGGGACAGACTAGATAGTCAGAAAACCTTTGTGAAGACGTGATGCCCAAACTGAGGCTCAGTGAATGCTGAAGAAGTGGCCAGGAAAAAAAAAAGAGGAGACAAAGAGCTGAGAGAAAGCAGATATGCTCGGAGAAGGAGGACAGACAGGGAGGGGCAGTGGAGAAAGATGTAGTTAAAGAAGAAAGGGAAAAATCGCAAAACACTTTGTATGTCATGCCCTAGAGTGGGGCCTTTGTATCCTAATCATTATAGGGTGTTATTCAAAGACTTACGTCAAGGGAGAAATATGATTAGATTTTTGTGTGGAGCACAGATGAAAGGCAAGACAGGTAGGGGAGACCAATCAGGAGGATGTGAGAGAATTCTGTGCTTGGAATTATGAGGTACTGAATGAAGAAATT